CAGTAGTTAGTAAGCCTTCCTTATATACTAATTTCAGTGCATCTTCATCATTGTTCTTCAGATATTCTTCCAAAGCCATTTTTTCTTCTTCAACCATCTGATGTACTTGTAGCATTCCACGCCCACCTATTTGCCTTGGTAGATAAAGTCTATCAATGTCACTGCGTGGAGGAAGGGCGTGATTCATTGTCATTATTTTTCTGGTCTGCCTATCCATTGCTTTTAGTTCTGCTTGAGTCCGTCCACTATTCCAGCTGTGTATCTAATGAAAAAACTGGGATTGCCCAGGTGTATTTATTATTATTATTATTGATCATCACACAGTCAGCCAGATGTTCAGACTGGATTTTGCATTTTGTCTACCTATCGAGTCCTTACCCAGGACCTGGGATAGGCAGATGTGGATGTTTGATGGCATTACAGATATCGTCGCAGGATGGAAGCAGTTCCTAATAAGGCCGCCTTTTGCAATTGACTAATAGCGAATTTGTCAATGCCAATGGTGTTCAAGTGGTGCTCCAGTTGTTTTGGGATTGCACCCAAGGAGCCTATTACTATTGGTACTACCCTTGCTTGCTTTTGCCACAGTCTTTCTATTTCTATTTGTAGTCTTTGTATTTTGTTATCTTCTCCAGTTCTTTCTCGTCTATTCTGCTGTCTCCAGGCACTGCCACGTCCACTATCCAGACTTTTTTGTCTTTCTTATCGACAATTGTTAAGTCTGGGGTGTTATGTTGCAGGTGCTTGTCTGTTTGAATTCTGAAGTCCCAGAGCAGTTTAATTTTATCATTTTCTATGACTTTCTCTATTTTATGATCCCACCAGTTTTTGCTTACAGGCAAATGATATTTTTTGCAGATCTTCCAATGCACCATTGTTGCTACTTTGTCATGCCGCTGCTTGTAATCAGTCTGTGCAATCTTCTTGCAACAGCTTACCAAGTGGTCCACTGTTTCTTCAGCTTCTTTGCATAGGCGGCACTTACTGTCTGTTGCTGTCTTCTCAATTTTGACTTTGTATGCATTTGTCCTTAAGGCTTGGTCTTGTGCAGCCAGAATTAGTCCCTCGGTCTCTTTCTTCAATTTTCCTGCTCTTAGCCATTGCCAGGTTTTATTATTATCTGCTTTCCCAGCTATTTTTTTCATGTATTGGCCATGTAGTGCTTTGTCTTCCCATGCCTCTATTCTGTTCTTCATTTGGTCTTTCTTGTAGGCCAGTTTGGTCTCTCCAGTAGTTAGTAAGCCTTCCTGATATACTAATTTCAGTGCATCTTCATCATTGTTCTTCAGATATTCTTCCAAAGCCATTTTTTCTTCTTCAACCATCTGATGTACTTGTAGCATTCCACGCCCACCTATTTGCCTTGGTAGATAAAGTCTATCAATGTCACTGCGTGGATGAAGGGCATGATTCATTGTCATTATTTTTCTGGTCTGCCTATCCATTGCTTTTAGTTCTGCTTGAGTCCAGTCCACTATTCCAGCTGTGTACCTAATGACTGGGATTGCCCAGTTGTTGATTGCCTTTATGTTATTTCCTCCATTGAGTTTGGATTTTAAGATCTTCTTCACTCTCTTGATGTATTCACCTCTAATCTTTTTCTTGACTTCAGTGTGCTTGATGTTGTCAGCTTGAAGGATACCCAAGTATTTGTAGGACTCTTCCTCATCCAGACTCTTAATGTTATTTTCGTGGGGCATCTTGATTCCTTCAGTTTTCATTATTTTTCCTTGTTTGATAGTAAGTGTGGCACATTTGTCCAAGCCAAACTCCATTACAATATCTTGGCTATATATTATTATTATTATTATTATTATTATTATTATTATTATTATTATCAATCATCGCACAGTTAGCCAGATGTTCAGACTGGATTTGGCATTTTGTCTACCTATCGAGTCCTTACCCAGGACCTGGGATAGGCAGATGTAGATGTTTGATGGTATTATAGGTATCGTCGCAGGATGGAAGCAGTTCCTAATAAGGCCGCTTTTTGCAATTGACTAATAGCAAATTTGTCAATGCCAATGGTGTTCAAGTGGTGCTCCAGTTGTTTTGGGATTGCGCCCAAGGAGCCTATGACGATTGGTACTACCCTTGCTTGCTTTTGCCACAGTCTTTCTATTTCTATTTGTAGGTCTTTGTATTTTGTTATCTTCTCTAGTTCTTTCTCGTCTATTCTGCTGTCTCCAGGCACTGCCATGTCCACTATCCAGACTTTTTTGTCCTTCTTATCGACAATTGTTAAGTCTGGGGTGTTATGTTGCAGGTGCTTGTCTGTTTGAATTCTGAAGTCCCAGAGCAGTTTAATTTAATCATTTTCTATGACTTTCTCTATTTTATGATCCCACCAGTTTTTGCTTACAGGCAAATGATATTTTTTGCAGATCTTCCAATGCACCATTGTTGCTACTTTGTCATGCCGCTGCTTGTAATCAGTCTGTGCAATCTTCTTGCAACAGCTTACCAAGTGGTCCACTGTTTCTTCAGCTTCTTTGCATAGGCGGCACTTACTGTCTGTTGCTGTCTTCTCAATTATTATTATTATTATTATTATTATTGCAAAAGGCGGCCTTACTAGGAACTGCTTCCATCCTGCGACGATCTCTGTAATACCATCAAACATGGATGTGGCAGTGCCTGGAGACAGCAGAATAGACGAGAAAGAACTGGAGAAGATAACAAAATACAAAGACCTACAAATACAGATAGAAAGACTGTGGCAAAGGCAAGCAAGGGTAGTACCAATAGTAATAGACGTCTTGGGTGCAATCCCAAAACAACTGGAGCACCACTTGGATACCATCATCGGCATTGACAAATTCGCCATTAGTCAATTGCAAAAGGCGGCCTTACTAGGAACCGCTTCCATCCTGCGACGAGATCTGTAATACCATCAAACATCCACAACTGCCTATCCCAGGTCCTTGGGAAGGACTCGATAGGTAGACAAAATGCCAAATCCAGTCTGAACATCTGGCTGACTGTGCGATGTTCCATAATAATAATAATAAAGTTGGAAGGGACCTTGGAGGTCAACTAGTCCAACCCACTGCTCAGGCAGGAAACTATACTATTTTGGACAAATGGCTGTCCCATTTCTTCTTAAAAACTTCCAGTGTTGGAGTATTCACCGCTTCTTGGGGCAGGTTGTTCCACTGGTTAATTGTTCCAACTGTCAGGAAGTTTCTCCTTAGTTCTAGGTTGCTTCTCTCCTTGGTCAGTTTCCATCCGTTGCTTCTTGTCCTGCCTTCAGGCGCTTTGGAGAATAGCTTGACTCCCTCTTCTTTGGGGCAGCCCCTGAGATATTGGAAGATTGCTATCATGTCCCCCTGGTCCTTCTCGTCATTAAACTAGACATACCCAATTCCAGCAGCCATCTCTTATATGTTTTAGCCTCCAGTCCCCTTACTGGAGGCTAAAAGTCTTAAAATTGCCAAGGTTGGACACCCCTGAGCTAGGATGTTAAGTGTGAATACAGTAGAATAGGGACTTACGTTCCGTTGTTGCACTCCATTCTTTGCAGGATTAGAAGAATCCTTGCTCTTCGCGATCCCGCCATCCCTTCCTTTGGTCCCCGGGCTAATCTGTTGTCATGTTGAAGTTAAAGTGCTCGGAGACGGTCAGAGTTGTCGTACGATGCCGGCCAATGAACGGCAAGGAGAAAGTGGCTTCCTATGAGCAAGTGGTGGAAGTGGACGTGAAACTGGGGCAAGTCTCGGTCAAGAACTCCCGGGGAACATCTCACGAGCTTCCAAAGACGTTCACCTTCGACTCTGTTTACGACTGGAACTCCAAGCAGTTTGAGCTTTACGATGAGACTTTCCGGCCTCTGGTGGACTCGGTTCTCCAGGGCTTCAACGGGACCATTTTCGCCTACGGGCAAACTGGGACGGGGAAAACCTACACCATGGAAGGGGTGCGTGGGGACCCCGAGAAAAGAGGGGTCATCCCCAACTCCTTCGACCACATCTTCACCCACATCTCTCGGTCGCAGAACCAGCAGTATCTGGTGAGGGCCTCCTACCTGGAGATCTACCAAGAGGAAATCAGGGACTTGCTCTCCAAGGACCAATCCAAGAGGCTGGAGCTGAAGGAGCGGCCCGACACGGGCGTCTACGTCAAAGACCTCTCCTCCTTTGTCACCAAAAGCGTGAAAGAAATCGAGCACGTGATGAACGTCGGCAACCAGAACCGGTCGGTGGGCGCCACCAACATGAACGAGCACAGTTCCCGCTCCCACGCCATTTTCGTCATCACCATTGAGTGCAGCGAGGTGGGGCTGGACGGGGAGAACCACATCCGCGTCGGGAAGCTGAACCTGGTGGACCTGGCGGGCAGCGAGCGCCAGTCCAAGACGGGAGCCCAGGGCGAGAGGTTGAAAGAAGCCACCAAGATCAACCTCTCTCTCTCCGCCTTGGGCAACGTCATATCGGCCCTCGTGGACGGCAAAAGCACCCACATTCCCTACCGAGACTCGAAGCTGACCCGCCTGCTCCAGGATTCCCTGGGCGGCAACGCCAAGACGGTGATGGTGGCCAACATCGGCCCGGCCTCCTACAACGTCGAGGAAACCTTGACCACCTTGCGGTACGCCAACCGGGCCAAGAACATCAAGAACAAGCCCAGAGTCAACGAAGACCCCAAGGATGCTCTCCTGCGGGAATTCCAGGAAGAAATTGCTCGCCTGAAGGCCCAGCTGGAGAAAAGGTCCATCGTCAAGAGGAAGAAGAAGGAGAGGAGGAGAGACGGCGGGATCGGGGGGGAGGAGGAGGAGGAGGAGGAAGAAGAGGAGGAGGAGGAGGAAGAGGAGGAGGGTGGAGAAGAGGGAAGGGTGGACAAAGATGACTACTGGAAAGAGCAGCAGGAGAAGCTGGAGGTAGAGAAGAAGGCCATCCTGGAGGATCACAGCTTGGTCGCCGAGGACAAGATGAGGCTGCTGAAGGAGAAGGAAAAGAAGATGGAGGACTTGAAACGTGAGAAGGAAGCGGCTGAAAAAC